CAAACTGACTATGGCTGTTAAAATGTTTTAACAATTTAAATGCAATAAAAAAATCATTACACTATGAATAACAATTAACCATTGATCTTTTCTAACATTTTTATTTTAAGAGAAATAAAATAAAAAACTAATTATAATGATTGTTTAAATAAAGGCATTTTGTGTAAATTATAAATGTAATTTTTTTTAGATGGCATGCATTTTTTATGATAAATTTAAACATATATATATATATATATATATATATATATATATATATATATATATATATATATATATATATATATATATATATAAATATATATATATATATATAAATATATATATATAATATATATATATATATATATATATATATATATATATATATGTAATATATATATATATATATATATATATATATATATATATATATATATATCCTTACAGTGTAGTCGAAAGAGACTTTTATGGTAAAAAAAAAGTCTCTTTCGACTACAATTTTTTTAGCTTGCCTCTTAAGCTGCATTTTATTGTCGCCGAAATGTCAAAGCAATTAAATTAATGCGGAAGTACATTAAATTTTATTGTTTTTCAAAAAAACCGCAATAATAATGACTAGAAAATTTTTTTTAATTAGTGGTGTTTTTTGTTTTTGTTTTATTAAAAAAAAATTTTAAAATTTGCCTAAGTGTTGCTACATTGACTATCTTATAGCTTGCTGATACAAGGGAGTGTTGCTACATCGACTATCTTATAGCCTGACTCGCAACAGAGTGCTGCTACATCGACTGACAAATAGCCTGACTCGCAAGGGAGTGCTGCTACATCGACTGACAAATAGCCTGACTCGCAAGGGAGTGCTGCTACATCGACTGACAAATAGCCTGACTCTCAAGTGAGTGCTGTATGACAAATAGCCTGACTCTTAAGGGAGTGTGTGTATATATATATATATATATATATATATATATATATATATATATATATATATATTAATATATATACAGCGACGTATCCAGGACGATTTTGATACCGGTATACTGGTAAGGGCCCCCAAATTTCAGCCAAAACTCAATTTAAAACAATTTTACACTGGTATTTGTTACGATATTAATATTGCTTAAAAAAACCAACATTTGAAAAACAACTTTTAAAATACGTTATTAATGTACTTTAAGCCAACCAGAATGCTTAATTAGAATTCATGTTGATGAAAAATAGAACATATTGTAATTGAATTAAATGTAAAACATTTCGATTCGATTAAAATATGAAATGCTTAGCATTTTTAAATCAAATTTTAAAAATATATTCATTTGAGTTTCTTCTCCATTTACGTTTTCATAACATACTTTTGAAAGCAGCCATTTTTATAAGCAGCCTTGGCGCAGTGGTAGCGCACTTGCCTCAGAAACGTAAGATCCCTGGTTCAAACCCCATCTCTGGGAAAGTATTGTGACATCGGTTGGGAAGGAGGCGTGAACTTCCTATTAAATGCTCTTCCGATTAAATCCTCTTCTAATTAAAATTTCGAATGAATTTACCTTGTTATGCAATAAATACGCTACGTAATAAATCTTATCAAGTCTATTTAAAAGAGTCATACAAATATTGTTTATTAAACATTATAGTTATTGCTTGTTAATGAAATCATACTCTCTATATTTCTATTTAATAATATTTAATATTTAAAATTTAATAATTCAATTTAATATTTAGTATTAATTATAATTTATAATTAGTAAGCAAATAAAGCAAGTTTATGGATACATCACTGATATATATATATATATATATATATATATATATATATATATATATATATATATATATATATATATATATATATATATATATATATATATATATATATATATATATATATATGTATGTATATGTATATATATATATATATATATATATATTTAGTAGAATCACAAAGTTTGTATAGCAGAGAAAGTATGAAAGCCTATAAATCCTTTGAGGGTTTTAACTATTTTAGACATGTGCAATATTTTTTTAATACTGATTTAAATTAAATTGTTTTTTTAATGATTTAAAGCACAAAACTCAGAAGAGTTTTGTTCTTTAAAAACAAAGGTAAAAAAACAATTTTAGTGAAATCTAAAATATAACTAAGATATACGACTAAAACATGAGCAATTAAGTTTGGTTTTTTACTAACATAAAACTTTATTATGATTATTTAGGATTGTATTATAATTATATTATATAGAATTATAGTAATTAGGATATTTTGTGATGATTAATTAGAAATAATAATTAATATAATGAAAATTTAAGTTTTTAATTACTTATGTTTTATATTTGGATCAGCTTGCAGTCATATCGCTTTCTACCTTTTAAAGTTAAAATCTGCATAAGACATTAAATCAATAAAATTTCTTGTACAAGTTTACAATGTGAATGGAATTGATCTAAAAAGCATGTTAGTCCCACAGCATTAGCAATCTTAAATTTTTAGCTTATAAGCAATATGCTAGTATTTCAAACTCCAAGTTTCACAAACTTTTTTGTTTTCTTGTGAAATCGATACAGTAGAAAAAACCAATGAAATGTGTATCTAAGAAACTTATACATATTTATTCGAAGAAAATTTAATAAATTTTTCAAAAGAAGTTTTTATAAAAAAGATACACAATAATTTAAACTTTACAAAAAATTTTATACCCGAAAATCTTTTAACAGAAATAACTTGTTTTTCACAGTGTTGTAAAGAGTATAATTGTGGTAGGATTACTGCCTCTTACTTTTATGTCACTTGTTAAAAAATGATAATAAAAGTTTTATTTACAAAATCTTGCAGTATAAATATTTTGATGGAACAATAGCTACAAAATATGGAATTGAAAATGAAGGTAAAGATAGAGTAAAATATTTTTAAATTATGTCAAAACCACATAAACATTTTAAAATAACAACCAGGATTGTCTGTCAATGAAAAATTTCCTGAGATTGATGGGAGTTCTGGTGCATTTGTGTTAATATGTGATTTACCTTATTGTGGTTTATTTATATGGTCCCAGGGTTGGCAAAAAAACCCAACCCAAAAAAACCCAACCCAAAAAAACCCAACCCAAAAAAACCCAAAAAAACCCACCTTAAAAAAACCCAATAAAACCCAAAATATATTTGGGTTTTTTTAAAAATGACCTATTTTACAACTGATAACTCTGATTTTAACACTTATAAATGCTTTATTATCACCAAGTGCAACCTTTATACTGTAATTACTCTTGTAAACACTGTATTTATATACATAATGGTCTTTAGGATATACCCAAAATCGATCAATCTGTTTTTGTAGCAAGTTGGTTATTTATTATTTTTTTAAAACATTTAGCAAGTTATTATAAATGTTATTGAAATATGTATTAAAACATTAAATTAGTTAAATACTTATAAAGGAAATAAAAATCATTCTATTAACTAAATTTCAAGACATTACTAGTTATTTAGTATCTTTATTCTCCTCTCGAATGTCTGTATTCTTTTATATTGGTATTTGATTTTTGATTTTTTAAAGCTTATGTTGTTAACTGCAAAAAAAAAAAAAAAATACATGCGTTGACTAATACCACTGGAAGGTAAAAGAAGTTGTACAATAATTGCAATAAGCTAAACTTAAATTGTGGTTCACAGCTGAAAGCCATTTAAATCTGCTTTCCCAAAATGTTAAGTAACTAATAGTAAACTATAAAAAGGTTGTGCCAAAAACCTAAAACCCAGCAAGGATAAAAAAAAAATATTTTAAATAAAAAAACAAACTAATATAATTATTTTTAATACAAAACTAATATAACTATTAATATTATTATTATTAAATATATATATATATATATATATATATATATATATATATATATATATATATATATATATATATATATATATATATATATATATATATATATATATATATATATTTAATTCTCAAGAACAATCAGAGCTCTAACATTTAGTAAACACTTAAGTACCTTGTTATACTTAGCATTTTGTGACACATTAAGTATGGCTTAGTTTGAATAGTAGGTTTTATTTGATCTTTATTGTACTCTAAATAAATTTTCTTTTATCGGCATGAGTACTTTCTGGGTAATACAAATAAAATAATTTTTATACAAAATTTTAAGTTTTATATAAAACCCATCCTTTTCAGTTATTATTTCATCTCTTCTTGAGTATTAAAATTCTATATAAAATGTAAAAAGAAGTAGTTAGTAAAAAAAATTCTAAAAACCAAAAACTTTCAGATTTTTAAATATTATTTATAAATCGGTAATCCTTTAACCAATAAAAAGGTCAAAAATGTATGTCTTTGCGAAAATAAAGATTTTTAAAATTAAAAAAAGTTGGCTTTAATGTTGGGCTGGACAAGATTTTAGATATTTAGGCTGGGCCGTTTTTTGGATGGGCCAGGCCAGGTTTCAAGCATAAATATTTAAAAATAATAACTTTAAAATACTTTACCTAATATATTTTCAAACATAAATAGAATTTAAATCTTTATGAATAATAAAAAAACATAAAATTAAAAAACTTAAAACATGTGTATTTAATAAATGATTTCTTTTTAAAAACTTATACAAAACTGAGAATAAACTAAAAGACTTGAAAATATTAATATTTTCATACTGTATGCTTATTTAACAAAATGCATGATTTTACATGCTTTGCATGCCCATATAAACAGTTGCATGCTTTGCATGCCCAGTGGGAACACTGTAATTCATAAAAATAAATCATAGAAAAAATAATTATGAGATAAAGTAGGGCTTTAATTTCTAAAAAAGTTAAAAATTTAGGTTTTAGGGAGTTATTTATGTTAAAACCATTTAGTTAGTAAAAAAAATAATAGTGACACAATAACTGATTATAAAAGTCAAAAAAAATAAAAATTAATAGCTGAATCTGTCATCTGGACAATAGTAGTCACTTTGTTTTAGGAGAGGTGTATACAGCATAAATAAAAAATTTCAATAAAAATTTTTACATACTCGCTTCCTTATTTTTTTTTGGTTGGAGATAAATTTTAGTTTTGCAACTGTACTTTGAACCATGTTCCTAAAAATATATAATTTTAAAATATTTAAAAATAAGTTTACTTAAAAATTAGCAAAATTTGGCTAAGTACCATATTTTGAATATATCTAAAATAACTACATAAAAAATATATTACTAAACACATTATATTAAATGTGTTTAGTAATATATTTTTTTTAATAAAAAGTACAACATCATCTGATAAAACAAAAATAATATAAAATAAAAACTTGCTTCAACTAACATAAATTATTACAAGTTTTAGCAACATAAATAAAAGTAAGTTGGATGTTTAACAGCTACCAAAGTGTATATATGTATGTATGTATGTATGTATGTATGTATGTATGTATGTATGTATGTATGTATGTATGTATGTATGTATGTATGTATGTATGTATGTATGTATGTATGTATGTATCATTATCCTTGCAAATATAGATCAGCTCAGTCCTAATTTATTTTGCATACTTAATGTTTACAAATCTAACTAACAGCTAACAATTACTATTTTTATTTAATTTTATATATCTCTAAGCTATCTTATAAATTATTCACATATATAGCTCTTGTAATATAACACTTCATACTTTTATATTTTAATATCTATATTTTTTATATATAAATAGTACACATACATTATTATATATATGCATCTTTTTAAATAAGCATTAAAATACATAACTATTTAACAACTATTTACGAAAGCTGAAAAACAAACAATTAATAACACTAATTGTAACTTCAAAACATTTTTTGCCTTGAAACAATCTAAAACACATATATAAAATGTAACTCCTACTAGAAAAATTAACTTTTTACTACCTTTAATCTGCAAATATTATTATTTTTATATCATCACTATTATAATTATATATATATATATATATATATATATATATATATATATATATATATATATATATATATATATATATATATATATATATATATATATATTTATATATATATATATATATATATATATATATATATATATACATATATATATATATATATATATATATATATATATATATATATATATATATATATATATATATATATATATATATATATATATATATATATATATATGTATGTATGTATTTATGCATGTATGTATGTATGTATATATATAATATAATTATTTCTAATTTCTACAACAAAAGTGAATACTCTTTTAAAAAGTACTTTCTCAAAATGTAAACCTGTACCATACGGCTTTTTATTTCTCTTGATATAAATAAGGTGCGTTATCAGTTTAAAAGAAATAAATAAAAATATTTATATAAAGTGAAAATGATTAACAAATTCAAACTTAGAATATTAATATATATATATATATATATATATATATATATATATATATATATATATATATATAGCAGTTTATATTAAAGAAAAGAGAATATTATTGAACTAACTTAATGCTTCATTTATAATTGCATACTATGTATATATTGTAACACTGGTTTTAAAACTCTGGCTTTAAAACTTTAAACAGTTTGAATTCAAAGCTAATTTACAAGTAATTGATAAAGATAATTTAAAGCAAAGTCAAAATAGTGTATAACTAGGTAGAGTATTTTTTAATAAAAAATATCTTAAGACTAACATTAAAGAGTCTACTTCAGTTCAAGCTCAAGCCTATAAGAATATAAAAAGCACTAAAGATGAGCTTTACCAGTATCGCAAACAAAATAACTATTAAAATAGCTATAACATGAAGATTGAATGTAGCTCACTTCAAACTTAGATTTAAAGACTCACCTTAAGTACTTACTTCAATTAAGCAAGAATTTATTAAAATGATGTTTACAAATATCCAGTATTACGGATTAGCAAAATGAACAAGTATAAAATCAATGGTATACTATGGTATATTAGATGGTCAAAATGATTACTAAAATAGCATAAATTATTCAAATAAATAAAATAGGCAAAGTTTGATTTGTTGAAGAATTTTGAGCACTTAAATAAAATCTATACTTAGTCTATTTTAAATAGTTTATTTTCGGATTTTATTAGAGCGCTCAAAGTAAATAATAATTATAAATTCATAGCCAATTTATTTTAGCAAAGTAAGATTTAGGTAAAGAGGCAAAAGTACTTAAATATTTAGACGGATGTTATAAAATAAAAAAAAGTAAATCTTGAAAAAGTAATAAATTTACATAAATAATTTGATAAAAAAAATTTTTTAATATAAATGTTGTTTACGAACTTATTTTTTTAACATTGATTAAAAAATATAGTTTCCCGCACTTTGAATAACAACGGTTTGTACGGAACCGAAAATGTTTTTTGAATAAAAAAATTGTATAGTTGTTTTAAATTATTTTTATTTAAATAATTTCTAGCCTGATATAGGATTCCAATATTTTTTGCAATTTTTGTTGATATATAATCAATATGAGTTTTCCATGACAGATTTTCATCAAGATAAATACCAAGAAACTTAATAAAGGAAGCTTCTTAAATTTCTAATCTATCGATAAAAAGTTTTGGCAAATCTTTTGGCAAAAGACATTTTTTTGTTGAGGAACTAAAAAGAATCCATTTTGTTTTGTCAGTGTTTAAGTTTAATTTATTGCATTTGAACCAAGTAGAAATTTGCATAAGTTCCTTATTCATATTTAAAAAAAAGTTTTTTATGTCTTTGATAAAAATCAGCAAACATGATGCTTATAAGATCAGAAGCTTTATTTAAATCATTAATGTATATTAAGGACCAAGGATAAAACCATGTGGAAAACCACATTTCATAATAATTAATGTTTTATTTTTAAGACTAATAGAAAATAGTTTATCCCCATAGAAGACAAATTGCTTCCTCTTTGACAAGTAGCTTTTGTACCATGCTATCAATTTACCACTTACTCTGTAGAATTAAAGTTTTTTAAGTAAAATATCGTGATTAACTGTGTCAAAAGCTTTTGATAATTCAATAAAAACAACAAATGTATATTGTAATTTACCAAAAGACTTTGAGACTTTAACTTTTTTTTTAAAGCCGAATTGGTTTTTATATTGTAAATTTATCTTTTCGTATACAATTTTTTCTTAAATTTTTGAAAACGTGGAGAGGACAGAAGTAAGGCAATTATTATTAACATTTCTCCTTAGAGATTTAAGGCTCTTTTTAAATCCTCAATTGATAAATCTAGCAATAAATCATTGTGAAAACGTGAATTATTGGTAAATTTAAAAAAATGATGAAACGAAATATCAGTAGAAGGAATCCTATTGGCAAATTTACTTCCGATACCAGTAAAAATTTTATCAAATTTCATTTGGTTTACTTATACATATGTCATATACTATTTCATTTGGTTTACATATACATACGTCGTTTATTTTAATCATTTTTGGCAGGATTTTTGAGGAGGTTTTTTGTTTTCCTGTTATTTCTTTTAAAATTTTCTTGAGTCATTGAGTAATAATTTTTGGTTTTATTTTTTTGTTTTAACTTTTTGTTTTAACTTTTTGTTTTAATTTTTACGAATTTTTTTAAATAAAAGTTTTTGGCTTTTGTAGATTTGTAGAGTTGAATTGGATTTTGTTTTTAAGTATTTTGTATATAACTTTTGCTTTATTTTTGAAGATTTTTTAAGTCCTTAGGTATTCCAAGGACTATTTAAGGTTTTTGGTTTTACAATTTTTACATAGAATGGAAAATTTGCATCGAGTAAAATCTATTAAAGAACTTATAGATTACATTTAAATCATCATTAAAGTTTATATGTTTCCAGTTTAATAATGATAATTGATACTTAAACATTTCTAAGCTATTTTTGTATATTATTTTTTATATGAAATTCTAAACATGTTTAGAATTTCAATTGTTACAATTTTTTATCACCATCAGAAACGCGCAAATCATTCCTAATGTAAGTTTTCCTTTAAAAAAATCAAAATTCCTCCACCCCATTTATTGGTTTGTCTTTCTAACAAAGCTGTTTCAAAACCTGGTAGATAGAAAATATAATTATTTTTATACTTATTTGAAGAAATCCAAGTTTTGGTTAAGCGAATAATATTAAAAACGTTTTCCGCCTCATCTAACAATTCTTGAAATTTTTCAAAATTTTAATTTAAACTTCTAATATAAATATTTAGGATTCTGATTTTTATGTTATCAATGTCATTTGTGATTAGAAATTTTTTTAACTCATTGGGATATTGATAAAATGTGCTCATATTATTCAAAAAAACAAAATGTGCTCATATTATTAAAAAAAAGTTAACATTAGGGTTTGAGTTGAGATCTGAATTTAAGTATTTATCATGAATATATAAAAGGGAGTTGTAGTCATCCATTTTTATTTTTTTCGAATTTGATTAAAGTAAATTAAAAGAACTTCTTATTCTAAGCCTCTATGTACTATGTAAATAAGTTTGTTATATATTACTTTAGCATACTTACCGGGAGCTCTAAGTTTATTTGCCTGAGAAAAAAGGATTTTCTTATTTCGGATGTTTGTTCACTAAAATCTTTAATTACGAAGAGTCTTTCATTCCACAACTTGAGTCTTTTATATTTGTCTAAAACTGTGTTTTTGTCTTTAACATATACGAATTTGACCACGATTGTTCTTCTTTTCTTCTGTCCAGATTCATGTTTTATTCCTGAATCTACTTTGTTACATTGATTTCAACGAATTTAAAGTAAACGAGTATTTAATAGAATTTATAAACTTTAACAGAAAAACAGGAGAGAAAAAAATAGAACAAGTTTTTGTCACTCTAGAAAGACACGATATACCTCTCCAATATTGTCGTTCACAAGGTTACTACAATGGTTCAAATATGTGTGGTAAAATAAATAGTGTTGACGTCTTGTTCAAACTCTGATGTAATAAAATTTTTTGAAAGCTTAGAAGTTTCTACTGCTTGTCTTCTCACAGTTCAGAAAGATGGAAAGTGCTGAAAAACACATACCTTTATCTTTTTAAAGTGTTTCAGAAACAAGGTGAAGTAAAAGCCATTTGATTAATTGTCAAACATTATCCTGGCGTACTCTCGATGTTAGATGATATTTTTCAGGAAACTGTTTCAAAACTAACAGCTCAAAATATAACTAAACGCTTGAAAAAATACTTCATGCCTTATTAAGGTATATTTATGACTATTTTTTGGCACAAAATACGCAACTATTAAATATTTTATGGCTATTTTAAAGATTATTTTGTTTGTAATACTGGCAGAGCTCATTTTCAGCGCTTTTTATGCTATCAGAAACTTGAGCTTGAAATGAACAAATAAAAACATTGTCATGCAAAGCCACTTAATGTTAAAGCTCTTATCCAAGATTTAATAAAATAGATAATTCACATACGTGACTCATGGGAAAGTATTGTTCATGAGGCAAAAAATGTTGCAGAATTTATTGAGTAATAGATCAAATTTCTTATAAAAGAAAATGTTTTACTATACTGGATCAAGAATTAAAAACTTCTCACCCATTCTTCTTCATCCCATTCTTCTCACCCATTCTATTTCACCCATTCTTCTCACCCATTCTTCTTCATCCCATTCTTTTCATCCATTCTATTTAACCCATTCCTCTCACCCATTCTTCTTCATCCCATTCTTTTCACCCATTCTAGGATTTTATAATTAAAGATTTGAGAACTTGATTTGAAGCAACCAATACAATACGTAAATTATTCTCACCCATTTTTAATTTACAGAAATTTGAGAATGGAGACCTTAATTCAAAAGCAGCCAATACTGTAAATGCATACAAGAAAGTTCTGTCTGATGACCTACTTAGTGAAATACTTCATCTAAAAAGTATTTATAAAAGAGTTTTTGGCATTGACAGTTCTTCCCTTCAACAAACAACTTCAGGGAATTATTCTAAAAATATCTCTGATAATCAAATTCCAGTAACTTAATTATCAAGTTTCAATTCCAGTAACTTAATTATCAGCTGAATGATTTTTCAGCAAACTGAAAAACTCATTGAAAAATATGAAAAAGAAGTATCAAGATCGCTAAAATCATATTGCCATTTTAAATATTTCAAAAATTTTTGCTAAACGAGTTGATTTTTGTGATATTTTTGAAAAGTTTGCTTGGAAAAAAACTCAAACATGTTGATTGCGATGTTTTTATTTTTTTAAATTTAATATACTCTTATTTAAATAAATCTTGAAATATTTTTTTTGATGTCATCTTATCATTTAAAAAGTCTTGCCTTTATAGATCTTGATTTTTGGTTTTTTAGTTTAAAGTAACATTTAAAAATGATATTATAATAAATAATAAAAGTAATGTTTTGATAAATAAAAATTGACGACCAAATATGGAATTTATTTTGTTTGGTTGAATGTAATCAAGTCAAATTTGGTCATTTTTGTGGTTTTGATTTAAGGAGCTAATTAATGTTTCAAAAGAGGGCAAAATAATTTTATGATAAAAGAGAAATGAAGCACTTCAATCTTAATTGAATCTTTAAAATTATTCAGTTTCGTTAAGTTGAAAAATCAGTTTTGAATAATTTATAGTTTGAGGTTTAACTTTAAAACATTTTAAAACTTTATTCTTTTTATAGCAAAAATTCTTATATAAGTACAAAAATAATTTAGATTTCACAAGTAAAATAGGTTTTTATAAAATAACAAATTTAGTATGTTTTTATGATTTTCTTTTTTTATCTGTCCGAAAAAAAAAATTTGCACAACCCTTAAGGAACCCTTAAGGGTAGGGGGCTGCAGAAGACTCCAGCACGAGATCCCTTTTCAGAAAGCGGAGGCCATGCTTGCAAAGATTAAGTACCTCTTTTAACAAAATGAATAAATAGCCGGCAGATAAATAAAATATACTATACTTTTTATACATTGTAAATGTATTTTTTTATTTTTTGACTGCAATAGTTGATTAATAATTTTTTATTTAGTTTTTATTTTTAAACATATTTATTGCTGTTGAAATAATAAAAACAAAAATTTTTTAAATTTAAAAAATTGGTTATATATTTGCAACAAATCTTACTAAGTTATTTGACGTAAAATAAGCTTTCTTTTATTAAGATAATATGTTTTTAGTAAAATTTTAATTAAACAAAATTTAATTAACAAAATAAAAAAACATTTTTTTTTATTTCGTTTTAAATTATGACGTGTAATTTTATATTCTACAGATTTTTTGGTTTAAATTAGTATTATTACAAGATAACTTGGTAAACGAATCCAACATAATCAAAAAATCAATATAATATAAATTACATATATTGCATATTTTAACATAATTTACATATACTACCTTTAATTTAATATAACTCGATGATTCCGTTTGAATGAAAAAGATAATTACTCTTCGTATTGACAAAATAATGGATTTATTAAAAGCGCATTTTTACAGATTACGTAGTAAGATACAGCGGTCAATTAGAAAAAAACTAATCTTTAGCTAAAAAATTTATGACAAGTAACTAAATAAATTTTGATCCAACTAAAAAGCAGTTCGTAAAAAATGCTGTCTTGTTTTATTTATATGTTTTTAGTTTTCATGTTTATAAGCAATCCTATAGAAGCAACAACTTTTACAAATGAAAATAAAAATATCTCGCTAACCTTTCCTAGGTTGACTACAAAGTGTGCTACTGGAAAAGTTTATAAAAATGGTCGGTGCTTAGATGTTTTTTGCTCTTATGGCTTTATCGAAGAGCAGTCAACATGTGTGAAAAAAAACAATGACAATAATGAAGTAATCAGTAAACCTAATTTTAACTCATGTATTATGACCAATAGCGCTTCGATCTACATGAAGTTTATTGGAACAGTTTCTAGTCAGGATTTTGAGAACATTGAAAGCGGTTACTCTTTAAAACAGACTCGAGATGATTATATAATAGAAATTATTCCAAAAAATAAGCAAACACTGTTCAAAGTTGAAAAAGATATTGAAAATTGGATAAAAAATTCTAATGTGCAAAGTTTGGCTGTCGTGTCGGCAAAGGTAAGCTACTCTACCTTATATGGCTTTGATATTGGTAGAACATTTGCAAATGAGAGTATATGTGCTGATTTGGAAACCTTTCCAGTTGAAAATAAAAATTTTATGCTAAACTGTTCTTATAACATGAATAACAAAATCTATCAATCTCATGAATATGTGATTTGGAGTGAAGAGCATAAAAAGGAAAAAGTGTACCAAAGAAAAATCAGCGTGTGCAAAAATTTTTATCATACAAAAAACCAGTTCTGTCGCATGCAATTACTCGACAATTATAAAATTAAAAATTTCTCAATTGTTTATAATAAAACTATATTGAATCCAAATTCGTATTTGCCGTTTCCTGAGGGGATCGCAATATGCAAGTCAACTCAAACTGACGTTTTTCCTATGAAAATAAAAATTAGTAATCATTGGACAATTGCGTTATATATTTTACCTGCAAGCATGTTTTGTTATGTGTGGCTTATTACGGTACACTTTTGTTTTAAAAGTCTGCGCAACACTTTGGGTTACATTAATGTCGGATTTTGTTTCTCATTTCTAATAGCTGATGTTCTGCTTTATGCGGAATTATTTACAAAAGAATATTGTTCCTTTTTTGGTATTGCAATGCACTGGACATTACTTTTAGGATTTACCTGGTTGTTATTACTCAGCTGTGAAATCTGTCGAACAAGATATGCAAGTTTGACGGGTAGTATGACTAGTTTTAAAAGAATAATTGCATATGTCATAATTGCGTTGTTTGTAGCATCATCAGGAATCATTTTTCAAATATTTTTCTCGTCAGGTGAGAGTCTTAAAGAGTATAAAAGTGGACATAAATCAAGTACATCTCATAATTTTTATCATTTACTAGAAAGCTGCTGGATTTGTGCTTTGCGAAGCAACATGTTTAGCTATATCTTACCAATATCAATTGTTACAATTATCTCAATATTATTGCTAACTATTTCTATGATTATGATGAAACGAAATAATAACGGAGTTAATATTGCAAACAATAGTTCTCAATGTAAAAGCAATTCTCCGCAACAGTTAGCCCTCAAGATATTACTCATTGTCTTTATGATTGAAGGTTTGTCGTTTTTAAAGCTTACCTCCGTTAGTAGTATGTATGCGTTTGCAGTTTGTTATACAATTACAAGAAGTTTAAAGGGGGTCATAATCTTCCTAGTAATGATTTTAAGCGAGACTCTCAGAACTTTGCATATTAACAAAATAAAATCATTAATTTGCAAATCAAAAGAATCCGATGATGACATTCGAATGCAAAGCGTTGCATTAGTTAATGTTAAAGAAAGTTGTCAAGACGAAATAGAATCTGAGACAACTCATTTTTAATCTATTTTTTTTTCCTTGTCTGATCCTTTTTTAGAAGAAAGAAGCTAACACTGGACAAATTTTTTCCATATTTTACTAATGTTGAAAAAGGAGAGAGGTGCATATGGCGTCTAAATTTTTAAAACTCTCTCTCATTTTAAGGAAAGCGGTGCATATGAAGGAAAGTGTTGCATATAGTTTTTTAATGTAAAAATCCTTTTGATATCCAATTTATTGTTTTGTCAAAAAAAATGCATAAAGGTTTTTAACAATATTTTGAAAAAATAAGTCTTCTGTCAAACAACCAATAGCACTCGATTGTTCGTAGTTGTTAACGCTCGGTTGTTCTTAACCAATAACAGTAGGTTGTTCGTTGTTAGTTGTTAGTAGAAGTTTAATTTTTTCAAAAATTAAAATTATTTATAAAGTTTTTAAAGTAAAATATATGTTTAAAGTTAATAAAAATTGTGTAACGCTGTCATAATGAAATTATATGAAAGTAATTTGTAGCTTCGCGATGTTTTTACAATTATCGACGTTATTTTTATAAATCTATTTTATTAAACTTCATTTATGTTATGTTATTATCATGGTGAACAGACATTCCAGTTATCTCCTAATGTCTCAATTTTATATAGAGTTCCGATAAAAGGTCATCAGAACGGTAAATTGTCGCGGTTTTAAAACAAATTATCCGTATAAAAATAATAATAGTAATAATAATAATATTTTTTAACTTTTAGTTACCAACGCATTAACTACTGTATCGACTAGAGTTACTGTTCACAAAGTTTCCGTTGGTCGGAATCATACTTAGGACCACTTCACTTCACGAAAACATATTTTTAAAATATCAACTCCAAGTTCTTTTGAAAATATTGATTGCATCGAAATTAACAAAAGCGAATCACACTCGGTGCAGTTAAGGCACTTTTAAAATATTATAGCGTCTGTATAATATTTTGTTGAATACGACATATTTCCGTTAAATGGTCTGGTCTGTAAATTATAAAAAGACGAAAAAAATTAAAATAATTAATTTTGCGGTATCATAAAATATAAATGTTTGTAGCAAAAAAACCCAGATCGTTGAATCTTATTTTTTTAAAAAAATTATCTTAAAATAACAATCGCTCGTCCAAATTTAAATAAGATTTTATTTTAATACGTTTTTTAGGTGAAATAAACATTATAGTTTAACAATATGATCTGTTCTGATCGTTTATTGGCAATTTTCCACAATTATAAACTCAGAATTCCAGTATTTTTTGTGAAAATTGATAGAAATATTGTGTTTTGACAACTATATATAGTTAACATACGTCAGAACCGATTAGAACTAGGACCTTTAGGTAAATTAAGTAACTTTTTAAAAAGATTTTAACTAAATTCATGTTAATGCCGATGAGCGGAATTGATCTAAAGATTCCAAAATAGTTTTCTTTAGATACATTATTACGGGTTGTAAAAAGATTTTGAAAATTATATAAAAAAAGAAAAGTTTCTTTAAATATTATAAGATCTTGTTTGGGTATGATATGCTGACAAAACCATTCTAATTCCAAATAAAAGTATTCAAGTATTTTGTAAATCGCCTTAACTACACCGAACATAAAGTACACCGAATATATGCAAAGCACATAATCAAACATAATTATTTATTTTGTGTTTAGATTCTTCTTCTCCCCCCCCCCCCCCCTTCTTCTTGTATTAAACACGCATAATCATTAACTTTAATGGTTATCAAGAGACTTACTGACTTTAAATTAATATTTTCAGCTCAAAATTCATAAAAATGCTGCAATTTCATTCCATAATCTTTTTTGACTATGTAGAAAAAAAAAAAGGGTTTAAGTAAATTACGTGTTGATTAAAAATATATAAAAAAACATATTCAAAGCTGCTAGCTTCTCCCTTACAAATTGAAAGTAAACATGTGTCCGTCTACATATTAAATCGCTACAACTTGGAAACTATAATTATACATATATTTAGTTAATTAGTTACTGATAAAACCAATTTTTTAGAAATTTTTAATGGCAGGAACATATATTCCAGAGACCCAAAGCACAAACTGTTTATTTTTCATTCATTAGAAAAGAGATATACGCATACAGAATCTTATAAACCACTTAGACACCAACCATAAAACAGACGCGTATTTTTATTTAAAAATAATGTATAGAGCAAGATGATTACTAGCAGCATTGATGTATTTCCCAACAGTTTAATAAATTTTTTCATTGTCACCATCCAATCTCAATTGTCATTTAGCTCCACGCCTTCAAGTTATGTTGCTTGTCTTGATTACCAGAGAATCTTGCTTATTCAAAATTCCACAAATTTAAGTTATAATTATACTCGATTTCATAATAGGCTCTTTTCAATATACCGCATTTTATCCTAAAAATTTATTTTTAAATTTCATTTGCATAAATTTGTTTAAACTTAAGTTTAAAAATAGTTTTTTTTTTTTTTTGTCGTCATATCATTGTCATCACCTATTTGTGGTAAAAAAAGATTCTTAGTTCAAATTAATAAGATCCCGATAATTATAAACCTGTCTTACTTATTTTTGCTGTTGGTAGTTTTGTGGAAGAGTTAGTTAACAAAAAGGTTAAAGATTTTTAAGAAAAATATTTTATGGAAAGATTACTGATGACTTAATATAAAATAAAGCTGCTGGTAAATAATCAGCTATAGTAAAATGTAATATTTACTGTCCGTATACCATACTCCTAAAATTTAATACTTTATACTGTAGGAAAAGACCGATTCCTAAAATGTCATACTTTATATTGGAGGATAAGACCAATAAATTTATTTGTAAAAGAAGCAAATAAACATCGCTCCAACACTTCGACATTTTTGTTTAACTTTAATTGTTATTAAAAATAACAAAAACACTATTATCTTTAGAGATATTGCCACCATGGGCAGGGAATGCCTATTAATGTATATTAATTATAAACCTTTTTTTATGAAAAAACTGTCATAAGGAGTACATATATTCTTAATGTAAAGAAGCAAAGTTTAGTATTAACAGTTGTTTTTCACTCAGCTCAGCATAAGACACTGATCTAATATTTTAATTTAGAAGCATATTTATTTAGCATACTTTGCTCTAGATTGTTTTGATAAAATTTTTTGGATTTAATATAAACGTTATTAAAAAACCTTTCAGATGCTACTTGCATCGCTGCACAACTTCTACTAGCAGATTAAACCTGCTTACATTTCTTGTTGAACTCAAGCTCAAACTCATAAAGTATAAGTACGACTTGTTCTATAAAACTTTTTGTTCAAAAAAGCTTAGAGTAAAGTATGTTCTTAAAAAAGTTGCATCTTTACCAGTCATCTTAGTTTCTCGATCAAATAAATCTTGAAGACCGCAAATGTGCATAAATCTTTTATTGTTAACCAATATTGTTAGGTTTTCAAAATCTAATAAGAATGAAATTTAATAAAAATTTTAACAACAAAATTTTTATTAAATTTCATTCTTATTAGATTTTATTTTACTTTTTTTTACTAATCTTTTGTTTCGATATTCTGAACTGAACAAGGTAGTAACAACCACTTTATTTATAATTGAAAACTATGAAATTCTATAATAAGGTAAATGCTCAAAAACAGAATACATTAATCCAAAAAAAAAAAAAGAGAAAAAAAAAAAAAAAATAAAAAAAAAATAGCTGACAGAGTAATAAAAATGAGCTTTTAGTAAAACACTTTCTTAAACTCACTCGATATTTATCTATTTTTCACTAAGTCAGTATTCTATATAATACGAATTATTACTATTATTACGTATTATTAATCTAGAAGAGTACTCTTCTAGATTATATTTTATATATAACAAATATATGTATATATGCAGTGGTCGGCAGTCATATTAGGACCACATGTTTTTTTAATAATTTATTTCAAATAGATTGCTTAAACCCACATAAAATAAATATTATGTTATTTTTTGTTACATGTCAAGTTATTTTTATTCTTAGCAATATTTAATATAGATTTTATCAATTGGCAATTCTGACTTTCAGCAAACACCTGTCATGATCGAATTGGTGCATATTGGACAATTTAAGGTTATTTTTAGTTGTTAGTTTGATTGACGTTTTAATGTGATTTATTTTAATTTAAAGCATCTGCGCTTTATTTAATTAATTTTTTTTTTAACTTAATAATTAAGTCATTATCTTTAAAATGTTTTTTCTGTTTATGTAAAAAGACACCAAAGTCATTTTTTTAAGTTCTTTATTTAAATTTTCAGCTATGGAGAAAAAATGTGATACGGCACCAACAAAAATTAGTTAAATCAGATGTCTTTTACAAAATATTTTATAAATATTATAACTTAAAATAAGCATTATTTTAGATTTGCTTCTCAGATGAGTCAACTTTTCAAGTAATGACGGATAAAACAGCTTTTGTTCGTCGTAGAACAAACGAAAAGTTTCATCCTGACAGTATTGTGAAAACAGATACGCATCCAGATTCAGTAATAATCTGGTCTGTCATTTGTGGAACAAGTTGGTACAATGAGGCTGAATCAGTATAAAGAGGTTCTGGAGAATCAGTTACTTCCCGAATGGCAGATTAATCTAAAAATGTCAACAAAAAAAATAAAAAAAAGTCAAAAAATGTATAAAAAAAAATTCAAATAATCTTATATTTATGCAAGATGCTACAACTTGTCACTCAGCAAAAAGTGTTATGGCTTATTTAAAACAGAAAAAAAGTTGATGTATTGCCATAGCCAGGCAACTCATCGGATGTTAAACCTATAGAAAACATTTGGGAAATAGTAAAGCGAGTGATTGGAAAAAAAATTCTTACTAACAAGCAAGATCTTATGGAAGAGATTATGAGGATCTGGTACAATAACCCAGAGTTGACAGAAACTATAAAAAAATCAAAACAAGGGTGCCACGACGCATCGAATCAGTTATTACAAAATATTAATACTTTATATATATTTTATAAAATTTATTGTAATAACCAATAAATGTTCAAAATGTTTATTTTTTTTTGTTTATTATTCTTCAAATTATTTATAACATTTTAAAAATAAGGTATTTTATAATATATTTGCAAGTCAGATTTTTAATTCAAGTTTAACAATTCGCAGAATGAATGTGCAATGCAAACATTAAATAATATTTTTAATGCGTTAAATGACGTATTTAAATGACATTTTAAACGTCTAGGGTGGTGTTTTTTATTACTAAATGTCATAAATGTCAGTTTCGAACATTTTAAAATTGAAACTACGTTATATAGGTTTAATTAGCTCTAATTTTAAATAAAAAAACATAATACAATAATAAAAAACAAAATTGTACACTACAGCTGTAATTGAAAATCTTTAAATTTTGTAACGGAGAATAAGTTGACTGCGTTTTTACGTTTACCTCTAACGTTGTCAAAAATAATGAGTAATGTCTTTGAAAGTCTTTTTTAGTCCACGTTTAGTACCAAAAAAGTTTTTAAAATATTGGAACACAATGACTGAGTAATTCGTATATTTCAATTTGGTGTGTCACTCTACCCAATACATACACAATCTGATTTAAAAAGATTAAGGGGTTACCATTATTGTCCCATGGAAGATGGGAAGTCGATTATAGGAAGTGCTTTTTTATTATTGTTTTATAAAATGCTTTTCCTTCAGTCTAAAAATTAATCATCTGGCATTTATCCTGAACGGACGCACTTTTTTAAATTAGCGTATTTTTATAAATAAAATTAAAAAAGAAGAAATTTGCTGTTAATTAATTAGTAAATAGTAATTATCTGAAAATGCTTAACACATAATCTATTAAATGGCAAGTAAAAAAGAAATTAAATATATAATGGAGGAAAAGTTCAAAGCGCAAGAAAGTTCGCTTTTAAAAATAGTATCAGGAAATGCTTCGATACAAAACGACAAAATGGATAAAATTTTACATTCAACAGAAAATATAACAAATTGTATTTCAAAAGTTAAAAAAAGCAACAAAGCTTGCAGAAATTTATTGACGATCTTCAAAAAAGTATCGAGTTTACTCAAAATACCTTAATTAATGAAAAACTCGTACACGTCGAAAAAGAACTTCAAAAATTAATGAATACGGAAATTACTAAAGTTGTAAATCAGACCGTACAGCTAAAAACAACGCAGAACGAAGAAAGCAAATTAAATGATGCACTACAAGAAAAAAATAGAAAACTAGAAGATGGGAATATAAGGAACAATATTAGAATTGACGGTGTACGAAAAAATGAAAAAGAAACATGAAATCAAACTGAAAAAAAAGTTCAACAAATATTTAATGATTAGTTAAAAATAAGTAACATAATTATTGAACGAGCACATCGTATCGAAAGACGCTTTAACGCAGAAAAAATAAATAAACCCAGAACAATCATACTCAAACTGCTAAATTATAAAGACAAAGAAAATTTTTTGGATAAAGCAAAGATGCTGAAAGGTATAGGCATTTTTATTATTGAAGATTTTTCATTTGAAACTAACAAAATAAGAAGCGAATCAAGTGAAAAGATGAAGATTGAGGGTAACGCTGGAAAATATGCTATTATTGAATACGATAAGTTAATTGTGAGAGAGTTTAATCTAAGTAATTTTATTTTTTACATAATAAATTATTTTATTATAATTTATGCCTTCTTCTTGTTCCAGCCAATTGTATTTTTTATATTGTTGTACTTTGTGAATATTTTTAACAGCGAAATAAACTAATAAACTAAACTAATAAACTAATAAAAGCAGAAAAGTAAGAAACATTTTAAGCATCACGGGCATCACAAACATCTTCATGTACAACAGAGAAGAAAGACACTGAAAAGCTAGAAAAAATGCTACTGAAAAATCTTGAAAATAAACTTTTTTTTTACCTATCTATGATTTAAATTGAATCATTCAACATTGTGTACTCAATATAAAAAAATGATCATATAAACATAAGCCGAGACTCGCCGATGATCCGAGACTCGCCTGTATTTTCTATCTGTGATACGTAATTTTAACTTGTGTCTTAAAGTGAAGCAGTGGTTTAAATAATATTTGGGTTAGTTGACAGATTTTTACGACGCTTAAGTTAAAAAATGTGATATATTATTATCATTTTATATAAATATAACATAGTATATAAATTATATATATATATATATATATATATATATATATATATATATATATATATATATATATATATATATATATATATATATATATATATATTATATATTTATGTATATATATATATATATATAAATTATATATATATATATATATATATATATATATATATATATATATATATATATATATATATATAATTTATATATATATATATATATATATACATAAATATATAATATATATATATATATATATATATATATATATATATATATATATATATATATATATATATATATATATATATATATTATATATTTATGTATATATATATATATATATAAATTATATATATATATATATATATATATATATATATATATATATATATATATATATATATATATATATATATATATATATATATATATATTAATTTTTTTCTAAAAAGATACGTTAAAGTTTTTTATAGGATACTTAGAGCTAAGAAATTGTGCTTGCTTTATTAAGCAATTGTTACTAATTGAAATAAACATTTACTTTTCAAATGAAAACAAAACATCCGTTCCATTCAATACAAACAAATACTTTTAGTAATATGTTAAAAGTTTAAATTACTAAATAATTTACTTTAATAATTTGCAGCTTCAGTAAATTCAGCTTAAAACTTATTTTAAAAATTTCAAAAATAATAATCATTTAGTTTAAAAACTTTAAAAATAATAATAATTTCTTATAATATAAGAAATGATTATTATTTTTGAAATTTTGATAAAACTGCGCTTCTTTTTTTTATAACCTTTTATATATATTTAGAGTTCAAAAGCTTTGATAAACCTTTCAAATTTTTAAATGCAGTTTTGCGTTGTGTATATATAAATATTATATATATATATATATATATATATATATATATATATATATATATATATATATATATATATATATATATATATATATATATATATATATATATATATATATATATATATATATATATATATATATATATATATATATATATATATATATATATATATATATATATAGCAAAACTTATTTAAGTTTAAAAGTATTAATGCTGAAGGTCAACAATAACGGCAGAAGATTATTAAGTTAATCTTTAGTTACTATTTTGAAACCGAGTTACAAACATACAAATAAAACATAAACAAGGTTGATTTTATATGAAAATCAATATTTAATTTTTAAATATTTTTATTAAAGTTGTTTCAAATATCAATAAAAAAAAAAAAGAAAAAAAAGAAAAAATTCGCAAAAACGAACAAAATTGAATTGTAAAGTAACAAAAAAAATTGGTGTTATCATTGAGCCGTTAAAAATAAGCATTTTACCTCATGACATTCCTAGCAATTTTGGAATTTTCTTTCATTTTAGTGAAAGACTTCATTTTCTATATGAAACTGTTAAGAATACACTATTAACGATAAAGGTTTTAAAAAGAGCAAGACGGTTTCAAATTCAATTTTTTTTTATCTCCACCATTGCTTTCGTCGGGCGTAATTTTGATGAATGATTCTTGCATTTTGAGTTTGATGTATGTTATCTTGCAATATTTGATCATGTGATTACTAAGGATCACGTGATATTTAATAAAGATACTTTTGTTAAATATTCACTTTCATATAAGTAATTCTCAAAACTAAAGAAAAATAAATAAATAAACTTTACATTTTAACAGATATTTTCGAAACGCAAAACTTTTGCAAAATGTTAACCTTTTGTAATTATATTTATAACTAGAAATATATTTGATGAACAATAATATTTTATTAATTTATTATTATTAAGTATTGATCATTTTATATTTTTATTTCTATTTAAAAACACATCAAAAAAGGATGATGGGTATTTGTATCTGGATGAGGGGTATCTACGAGTGTACTCAAAATAACTTCTTTTATAAATGTTTTGAAAATATAATTTACCCATTTCTTAAATGTAACATCATACAATGTTTTTCTATTTCTAAATAACATTACTGGGTAATTAATAGAGCTTTTTGTTTGGCAATTCAGTTTTTAGCTTTTCATGCTTTATTTTGTTTCTTTATGAAAAAAGTTGATATGATTCTAAACTATTAAAATATTTAATTATTATAATGATTTATTTTTAAATTTCATAATATCTCTTAGCGTTTGAAAAATTTTAGGGGGGTCGTAAGTTTTATATGGTTATAATTTTTTAACGCTTAGAGATTATTCAATGAAATTTGAAATTTATTGATATATAAATTTAATTAAAAAAAAATTTATCAATTTGTAGCTCTCACGTTTGTGGCAGGGGCTCCAATCATCACTTTTTTTTTTTTGCAACTCATTCTTTTTTGATTTAAGTATAAACATATAAATGTTTGGAGTTTGCTTAATGTCTCAAATTTGGCTCTCAAACAACAAAAAATGCACGAGGCGCGCGATGCGAAAGATACCAAGTCTTTGGAAAATAGTTTAGGAGATAATGAGCAGTAAAGGCAGTGGTATTTTAAAATCGTCAAATTCAAAATAAACTTATTTTACTTTTGGATCATCAATTATAAAACCTAACAAATAAGAATTACAAGTTTTTTGTATTTGACGTTTTTGTAAGCAATAAAAGATGTTTTTCTAAAACTACGGAAAAGTTACCAAGGTTTCGTACTGAATTTTGAAGTTCTTCTTATTATTGATTTTTGAATCGAAATGTTAAAAAGTTGTTGCTTTTTAATCTTTTAGACTTCCGTTTATAAAAATACTTGATAATTTTGATAAAATATGCACGTTTTTTAACGAATTTTTTAATGGAGGCATAACACTTAGGTCGTCAATAAATTACGCAACACTAAATTTAGCTAATTAAGGTGGAATACCCCTCAGATTTTTTTTTTTTAAGTAAAAACTATTATTTTATAAATTTAACTTTATATACATATTGTAAATAACAAAATAAGATTAAAAAAAAAATTTTTTTTTTGGTATAATAGTACCTGTAAAATAGACCGAAAACCACAAAGTTATTGAAAGACCCCGGCCGGCGTATCTCAAGATCTAGACAATTTTAACAAAATCTTTTTCGGATAATTGTTCTTGCAAGGTTGTTCTGTGTTATGAGTGGAACAGATTTTTTAATTGGCTAAAAAGTAGGACCAAAATTAGGCAAAAAATTTACTCAAATTTTGTGACTTCGTTGACCTATTCCAGGACTGGAATAAATTTTATAAAAAATCTGTCACACTTAAATCACAGAAGGCAATAAAGGGCATTCATACTAAAGAATGTCATTACTTAACTCATCATAAATTGGTTTAAGTTTCCAAACAATCGTTATAGGTAAACCAAAGCCAGTCTTATATGTCGAGGTATGATTTGCTTTGTCGTGATTATACCGACACCAACTATCCTTCAGGACAGTGAAGAAAATATAAATTTTAATTTTTTGATGAGGAAGCATGATAAAGCGTAGATCTTAAAGCAGATTTCATACTGTTGAAATCATTTTTGTTTTGGCGAATAGCTATGCCATAATAGTTTTGGAGACGATCAATAGTAACATCAGTCAATTTTTTAAGATTACATAAGCGAGTTCCAACTCTTTTTTGAACATTTCCAACTCATTCAAGTTTTTTTACTTGTATACATTCATAAACATTTTTAACAACATCATAACCTTTGCTATTTCGATCACCATAAAATTCAGTATATAGCAGACTATGTTTTGCAATAGACCTATTCCATATTTTGAGGGCTCCCTCTGGCTCTATACCACCAGCTAGTTTTTGATAATTATAAGTACATTTGTGTTTATTGTGCCATAGGCAAATGGGTTTTCTTTTTTTTAAGTGTTTTTTAAAAAAACAACTTTTACAAACCTTGTTCATTGCTTCAACATCTAATACTTTGTCTGTTTTCATTGAAATAACAGAAACAACTCTATTGTTTGAAGAGTAGCTTCGTTGCTGCCAAGTTCCATCACACGATAATGCAACATCAATTTCATTGAGAAAACGGTAAGTAATGGATTTTAAAACAAAATTATCATTTTTCAAATCTTTTAATTTATGAGTAGCACCAATCATTGTGTCTCCAGCTACACATTTTACTGCATTAGTTAATTTAAAAAAAATTTGTTATAATTGTAAATAGTCATTAGTTTGGGCATGTCCATCAATAAAACAAATCTTGAAAATCCAGAATAACCTTGACCGCATTATCTCATAGCATATGCAGCCCTGGTATTTATATCAAAACTTTTTTGTTTGTTGAATGTCGATGAGTAAAATTCTTTTGAGTAGTTACAAATAAAGCAGTTAATATAGAGACAAGAAGCTAGAACTTTTCTCTTGTTTTCGTTTTCTGAAAGAAGTAGCTCTAATGACATGCATTCTGGTCATCTAAGGATAGAAACTACAGAGTTAAGTATTTCTAAACAAATGAAACGGTATCGTGTAATTAAGCTTCTCGATATTATGAGTCTTGATGATGAAATGTTTGTAATTTTTTTAGCAGAAGCACTAATTTGATCAGAACCAATTACATTAAAATCAACAGTTCTCATCATATTTACATTTATATCTTCAACACTTTTATTAATATTTACATTAGTATCTACATAATTTGATTCTATATTTACATTGCTGTTATTTACATCCATATCCAGACTATTTACAACTAATTTGTTCTTCCCATAAAACATTTTTTTTCTTTTATTTTCTTTAGTTCTTTGTTTAACTCTACAAGCTTTAACCATTTTAAAAGATTAAAAATGGGCATTTCAGTGATTGCTTTTATTTTAAAGTAGTTTTAAACAATAGAAAGTAAAATTCCTTTTTTTAGTATATTTTTCAAACAGAAAAATCAGATTTTAGCAGGTTTTTTGGCAAGGATGAAAAAAAAATGCTGTTGCTATGGCGGTTGTTATGGAAGTTAAAACTTCTAGGGTTTTATAAACTCTAGTTTAATAAAGATCTATAGCAAATTTTTTATTTTTTTTTTCAAAATTTTTATACTTCTGAGGGGTATTCTACCTTAACAAAGAGGAAAATACCAAAAGATTTCACTCGCAGAATATGTACTTACACCAAAAATTCAAAATGCTTTAAGTTCAATGAAAATCACAAAAAAAAAAGCAAATTATCTCCATTACAAGCATATAATGCTTACAAAAGCGCCTAATAAAGATATTGTGGTGAAAACGTGTTTCATTTTCATATTATATTTAAAACTATTTTACGAACATTAACAATTGATTTTGTAAGAAAAAATAATAAATATTAGATTTTTCACCGCAATTTTTGGCCTTTGAGAAATTGATTATAACGATTACAATACAGAATGCAATATAGAAAATATCCATTCATTAAAAGATCGAGTTCTTTTCAAGCGAAATCTTTCTGTAGAATGGTACTTAAACAAAAATGCTAAAAATTGTAATACTTACATCCATTTAAGTTATTAACCGTTATTAATTAAAATAACTATTGTTCTTGGTTTATTATCTTTATTTTGACCGATGCGATGTGCTCTTTCTATTACGACTTCATTTGATATTTTTAATTGATTAATAAATTATTATTAACTGCGTTATTTACTTTATTTGATTAGAAGTTGATGATAAGATTAGTAATGAATAAAAGATTAGAAAATAAAACTTTAGTTAAAACTTTATAAGTTAATTACTAAAGTTAATTGTTTCATCTTCTACTTTCTTATCAAGATACAGAAAGTAAACAATCATTCCTTTTTTTATGTATGTTTGTTTTCTTAATTTCAGATTCAAACATAGTTTCAAACTTCAAAATCTTTGAACGCAGTTTCAACATCACAAAGTTTGAACACAGTTTAAGCTTCACAAATTTCGAAGGAAGTTTTAAACTTTACTAACAAATCAAGAACTTGAATGCTATATACAGTGTTTGTTTGTGAAGGCAACAAAACATCCACAAAAAAACTCTTTTAAGTCTCTATAAAATATCTCAAAAAAGAGACAACTAGTATGACAATAGGCAGAAGGTGAAACTCCTGAATAAAAAATAGGTAAGAATCCTAATTCTAAAACAAGAGCTGTACTAGAAGAAATATTTGAAAAAATATTTGAAATAAAAAGGAATCTTTAAAAAGATATAACACATTTTTTCCTGTAAAATAATAAAGTATGCCAATAAAGAAATAAAATACCTTATTTTGAAGCCACAAATTGTGCCAACCACAAACTGTGAAAAAAAAAAAATTAAAAATAACAATAAGATTTAACAATTTAGGCGCAGGTCTGATGTGTACGGTTAGCACGGCTCCTTATAATGCCTACCCAGCAGTCCCAAGAACGTCACTTATACGGAAAGTTAGCGTACACATCAAGGTACCCTGTAATGCAAATTTAATTTTATCCGCGGAAAATAATTTAATTTAAATTTTCAAACTAAGTCAAATTTTGACTTTATAAAGCGCACATAAAAACACTTGTAGAATTTGAACCACTCAATATAATTTGATAAAAATTGGTGCAAATGTAGCCAATAGTCACACCAAACTCTGGACAAAA